TTAATTTTTATAATAAATTTATTAAAAATATTAATTAAATATATGAACAATTTAAAAATTTTCAATCTTTAAACTAAATGATAAATCTATACATATCCATTTTTATTAAATATGTACTTCTATTTATATTATCAATACATATCCATTTTTATTAAATATGTACTTCTATTTTTATTTAAAATAGTTTTAAATGTAACAAAATTTATGTAAAAAAATTGTATTGATACTAACAATGTGACAAATTGGTGTTGACCGGTTCTCTAACAAACATATTATTCAAGCGAAGCGAACTGGTCGATAATTTGGTTCTTGGTCCATACGGTCGGATCGGTCCGGTCCAAATTTTAAAACATTGAGTAAATCATGATTAACGTTATTTATAAATTTAATTTATAATACACAATTATAATATTGTTCCCCGTGCATCGCACGAGCCACGTACTAGTGTTAAATGAAACCATCTTTAACATTAACCATTGAAGATATAATTTTTAAAATTTCCTTTAACCATGACATGCAATACAAAATGTACAATATGATAGTGGAGATGCTCTAATACTAATATACCCCTCCCAGCGAACATAGCCAAAACACGGGCTGGGCACGGGCACGACCCGACTGGCGGACTGACGACCCTGAATTGGCACGGATCTAGGTCGTGCCTCATCCATGGCCCGCTGGGTAGGGTTGGGCCTGACCCTGGACTAGGCCCGCCCAAATAAGAAAAAAAGAGAATTTTTTTAAAACAATGTGTTTTTCTTGGTCTGGTCCGACTCGTCGGGTCAAGATCGACAAAAACAAGACCCAGGACCAACCCGGTTGAAATCTGATATGGGCCCGGACCCGTGGTCAACGGATTTGACCGTGGGCGGGCAACTATGTGCCGTGTTAAATTCTCAGTGGCCCACGCCAATTTCACCGCTAGAACAACGTACCTATCGTACGCGTCCACGCAGTTACAACCCCTCCCTCACTCTTAGGGGGTTGTATTCAATTAGGACTTTTAATGACTTTTTAAGACTTTTTAAATAGATGACTTTT